CGGGCGGACGGGGCCGCGAGGGCACTGCTGCAGGCAAATACTCAGCACTCACAAGGCACGGTCCCCTCGCCTGTTCAACGGGACGTTCCATCTGACGAGGGCTTTGATTTAACCCAAAAGAAGAAAGAAGAAGAAAGAGCACGAAAAGCGCGCTTTGCAGCGCTCCTACCTTCTAACCCCAACCCGATTCCTCGCGGGCTTCCACGATGGGAGCAAGTGGCACTACACAGGCTCCAGACTCGGACTATGGTGACTCCATTTTGGCGTGCCAAGTTCTAGAAGCCAACAGATAAGAATGACACAGGTCCTGACCCTGGATGTCCACACTGTGGCGTCTCTGCGACTTCCTACCATCTTTTATGGTCCTGTGCAGGGACGTCAAGAACGGTTAGCGGCAATTAACACCTTACCACCGCACGGTAGACCAATTACCCTTCGGGAATGGACACATCCGAGAACCCCAGCACCCGCAGAACGAGATCTCATCTTCACATCAATCATCTCCTACCTCCGGTCCTCCGGGATCGGACGGTATGTCTAATCCATCACCATCATCACTACGCCTCTCCCACTTCCCCTTCCCCCATGCCACATGCGGTTCCATAGACAAGAGACATGGAAATTAAATAAACGTTTCAATCAATCAACCTATGTAACCAAGAATAGGGTTGAAATTACCGATCAATAAGGGTCTGAAGGAACAGCGTTCCCATGATTGTTTTAGCGCGGGCCGGGGCACTTGGGGGATATCGCATATGGTCTATTGGCGACGTGCGCGATCGAAAGCGTCACTGTGGTCGGCCTGCCGCAATTGGACGAATGCTGATTATGACGTCAGCAAAGGATTTCTCATCGACGGAAATTTATAATTGTAAGAACTTCAATTTTTACGGTGTTGGCAGTGTTGCTTTGATAGCGCTGTGACTTCAAGCTTTCATCACATTAATTACAAGCACCGTCGAACTTGTTGTCTGCAAGGTAATGACGTCACGAGAGGTAACCATAGGAAGTATTTGGGAGGGCGCTACCAAAACATCTCGCCGCTAATAGTTTGTGCATTCCGATTCGCAAAAGCCGTAAAAAGTAGGTTTTATAAACTTACTTTTTACATACTTTTTCCCCCTTGTGTGACACCGTCTTGGAGTAATTGAGTGAATCACAAAAAAACAGATATTGAAGTTGTGAGTAGACCCTTAAGTTATTGTTTCCATAGCGTGTCCGCAGGAGCTAATAGTGGCGAGATATTTTGATGGCGTCCTCCTCTGATTCCCTTTCGTGACGCCATTACCTAGCGAACAAGTTCGATGGTGTTTGTAATTAGCACGGTGGAAGCCTGAAATCATTGCACTCTGAAACCAACAACTGCCAAAATTAAATTTCTTCCATTACTGTTTTTTCCGTCGATGAAAATCCTTTGCTGACGTTATAGTCGGTATTTGACCAATCGTGGAAGGCCGACCACAGCGACGCTTTTGATCGCGCACGTTGCCAATAGTTCCTCTTTACAAACATGAACTTCCGCTGGCGTCCTTCTGTTCGCTACATTGTCTTTGTAAGCCTGTCGAGCTTGCATATATCGCCAGTTTTAAAATCCTAAGTGCCACAGGAACAACAAAGTTACAAATTGAACGAGGGCCTTCGGCTGTACAATATAGTCTTGAAGGAGGCAAGTTGTTTTAAAGGGGCCATGAAACGAATTTTGGGTTGGGATGAATGATTTTAAATTGGGGTTTTACTAATCGCATATCGTTTAGTTGGCCAAAAGAAAGAGGCTAGAAAGTCAAAAGCCAGCTTTTCGGTACGAAAATTTGAAAATATAGCGGACTCTTTTGTACCTTCTTGCCTTCGAAAGCTCTCCCTCCGCCTTTTCACTATGATACATCCGCGGTTCCAAAAGCGCGTCACCGGCGCCAAACTGTCGTCAGCAGAGCCAAGCTCACGCATTGGACACGAGAACTGCGTCACTCGGACGTATGCGCTCGTCAACAATCAATCCGTCAACGAATATTTGGATTCGCGTTTCGTGGCCAATGAGTGCCCTGACGGAACTTATTGTCACTGGAGAATGACAAGTTCTATGGTGTGCATAAAAAGAACGGTGGAAGCTAGGAGTCATCGCACCGGTGCCGAAGGAATGTCACGACCACGTGATTTCACAATTCGCATTTGAGTTGAGGATTAAAGCTAAGGAGGAAGAAGTGGGGAAATCATTTCATGACCCCTTCAAGAGAATATTCGAAAAATTTTAACAGATTTCGCGCTTCTTCGTTCTTTTGGCGTTCAATAGACCGATCTCACTAGCCAGTTTGACTACGCCACCGCTGCCGCAATGCATCGAGGGAGCTTTAGTCTTTCTGCACGTGCGACAACTTCGCTGGAGCTATGCGCGTGTGGAGCATAAGGCAGCAGGAGCCGTCTTGTGACTTTAGTGCACTGCTGCCTGCCTCCTGTGAACTAAAGTTATGGCGGCGTCACGCATGCGCCGAACGCTTGGTGAGATCGGTCTATTGGAGAATTCATGGTTAAACATTTCATTGATACTGCAAAATTAGCGTCTGTGTATGTTTATAAAGCCTGAACGTAGTCTGCCTCAACGGGCGACTTGTCTCTCAGCTGTAGATGAGAAATTTAGAACTGCGTTACAACCGCTAGCCTGGTGTATTTAACGTGTAACACGATGTAATGATACTCGACCGCACGCCGGCACGATGTTCATCCAGATTGAAACGGGCAGGGGTGTGGATCGAACAGAGGATCCCTGGATTCTGCAGCACGAGCCTTCGCTCTACGCTCTCCGATCTGGTGTGCGCTAGCCCACTTGGCCATCGATACCCCCTTTGATATTTCAAGCAGAGGTGATAAGGTGGGCTTTGTTCATTCTTTATCTAGATTTAAATTTATTTATGGTACTCCCAAACAACTTAACAAACTAAGTAGTGTTTTATGTACACATAGTCTATAAAATAAAAATAAAATAAACAAATATGGCAACAACCTAATTAGCAATTACTAATCGTACACATCTTTTTACATTTCAAAGGGCATAAAAAAAACGATATCCGCGTTATTTGACTTACATAGAGAAGTTGCATACGAATCACGGGAGTTTCAGATTTTGAGGAGCCTGAATAAAAAAAGTACCTTGTACATAGTTTGTCGTCGGGGAACATGAAACAAAATCTTACCAGCGGGCAAAGGGGAGAGAGATCGAGATAAAGAAAGAGAGAGATAACCTTTATTCAAGCCGCCCATGTCCGAACAGTGGCAACAAAGGGGCATCAATAAGAGCATTGAGTGCTTTGTGTAGGAACACTAAAACATGAATTAATCATCTCTCACAAAGAGGCGAGAGACAAATGGTTTCTGAAAGGCCTACGTAATCATAACAATGTTTACGTCCGATATGGCGATCAATTCAACAAGCCGTCGTTGCGCACATTCTAAATCATGGGTTTGGTTTACGGCTAGAAAATTTCATAGAGTTGAAGAAAGTTCAAACTTCGACAAAACTAGCGAGCGAAGAAGAGGAAGTTGACACGAGGGTGTAGAGCTGTGGATGTTTTGAGTAATGCGTGGTATTACGCCTATCAACCGAAACAAATACGCCCCCCCCCTTCCCCCCCCCCCCCTCCCCCCTCCCCCCCTCCCCACGAGAGCACCTGGTGACGCAATTTGTGAGTTCTTCTCTTTGCATTTAAAAAACACAGTTTTTCTTACTTTTTGTTTCGGAAACCTGTACACACAAAATTTGAGTGTGATAAATTTGCACCACCTACAGACACTTTGAAACTTTAATTGGGCATTGTTTTTTTGGCTTTTTATACCGTCCCATTTAGGACCAAATAGTATATGGGGATCTCTCTAGTATATTTTCACGGACTAGCGCATGTTCCTTTAGAAGTATTAGTTCGAGAAAATTTAACGGCAGGGGCGCTTACTTTCTCGCTACGTTTGTTGCTGCTTTGTGACTAACTTCTTATGACCTCCAAGGGAAATGTGCCCCACTCCCCCCCCCCCCCCCCTCAGACGCACTCAAACGCACATATTAGCTGCAGTTGCGCTCACCATTGAATACCACTTTTACATAAAGCACCCCAAGTGGTGTTCCCCCGATATTTTAGGGCGTGCCTTTATTTAAGTGTATATTACGTGAAACGGAAATATTACACTTGAACCCAGCAGTGCGCCATGGTTCGGCTATCGCTTTGTTAAAATCAATGCGTCGACAGACACTTTTTATCAGGTCCCTGGCTAATTAGTACGATGAAGAAAATCACGTCGCTCTATTAATGTAAAGGCAGCAGCCGAGATACATACCTTGTTAAATAAATATCGACGGCACCTGCTCACGATGGAGCGTATGAACACTTGTGACCCCGAGTTGAGGACGTTTCCATGGCCGAATATTATACGACGTTAATTTAAAAAACCATGCATGAAAAAGTAAAAAAAAAAAAAACAAAAAAAACATCATACAATATATTATGAACTTCGACGTCTTTCTATTAGCGGTTACCAGATGTGGAAGACTTGTTTTGCAGTTTCTTTAACCAGGCTTATCACAGTTTTTGTCTTTAACCGGCCACCAGACGGGGTGTTTAGCAACGCTCTAGTGCTTTAAGGCACCGGGGTTTCTTGCACAAAAGATGTTATAGATGCGAGGGTAATCTCGCTGTAAAGATTGCCATTGACCTCGACAGCTGACATCCCGACAGCTGAATGAGTGAAAGAGCAGTCACATTTTCGATAAATTTGTCCTTGAGCATAAAGCGGACAACTACGAACCATATAACGCCAATTTTAACGAACTTCAATGAGGAAACTCTTTGCGACATTCTATTGTTTCCTTTTTAGAGGAAACCAGAGGTAATCCAGTAGACCAAAAAACGAAAATAAGCCAAAAACACAGTATCGTATGATGAAGCAATAAACGAAACACGTTCTTTTCAAAGACGCACCCTTTTAAAGGAAAGAGTGCCGTGCTACCCCCTGCACGGTCGCGTAATTCCGCATTCCTCCGCGATGGCGGCTGTGGCGCCACCGAGTTCGCTTCCGGTCGAACTGGTTGAATGGGCGGTGGGCGGTCACGAGGAGACCGAGCAGTCGACGGCGGCACGCAGCAAGCAGACGACCTTCGCCCGACACCGCTCGAGTAGAGTAAGTGGCCTTCTTTTCCTTGTCTGGCTTTTCTTGCTTATTTGTCTACGCATTGTTGGTGATAATTTGATCGTGCTCGTTTGAGAAGCATACCACACCACTGAGGAGGGAGATCGCGAAAGGCATAAACGAGTTGTACCACGAATAGAGCAAGAGATAAGACGTTAATTAATGCGCACGAGTTGAAAAAGGTGAAACGATGTTTAAGGTGCAGAGAAGTGTGGTTGAAATCGATGCGAGTGTTACATCCTTTTTGCAAGGGTGTGGGAATAGTGGTTCGAATGAAATAGCATTGCGTCTTTTATTTACTTAGAGTGCCAGGAACACGAATACTGGCTCTCTTTGCGGCCTTGAAGCTAGGAATGACGGTGCGCTATTTGATCTCAAGCGGTATTCGCGCATTCCAAGGTTTTTACTTACATTTGCTTTCCCTCAGCCCGCAAATAATTGTAAACTCACTTCTATAAATGGTAACTATACCTTGCTCGCGAAGAAAGCGCACATTTTACTGAACAAAAAAACAATCAAAGGGCGATTGAAATATCGTGAAACTGTCATGTGAAAAAACACTAAGTTAGTTGGTACCAGAAGTTGCGGCTAGGGAACCGTGTCACAAAACCTGCTGCATGTGCGTGATTTGTTAATAGAAAGATTATTAAATCTTCCTAATAATAATCCTAAAATAATAATATTATTATTCGGTCGCTATTAGCGAGTGACATATTGGAGCACGTGGGGTATGTCGCCCTTAAAGAAGAGTTTAGTGTGTTCGAAAAGCATCAGCTGCAACTTTGTACTGGAAAGCTCGGTACTCGTACACGTTGCGTTAATTTTATTAGTGCATCTAAGACTTGCATGCTTCGTTTCGCCAGAAGGAATTGGGATCCTTTGGCATAATCTGCCAGGCTTGAAAGCTTACGATAAGGAATTGAACAAGCCAGTTACCCAGTTACATCATCAGAGATCCGGCGCAATTATGGGTAATAAAAATCCAGTAGAGTTCCTCTTAGACGGAGAAGATAAAACAAATGACCCGGACCGCGTCTTTTTATATTAAAAGGAGAAATAAAAAGGTAGATAAGAAAAGAGAGACTGTGTTGCCATGAACGACTGAATGAAACCGCTGAAAAAATGCACAATACACTCTAAAAAAAGGGTGTCGTCCTACACCCTTTTGTCCCATATAATGCACCCCAAAACTTCATTTCGACGTCCAGCGCTCTATAGTCGAACGGACGGCCCCAAAGTTTACGAGGGGCTTGATAACGGTGCGATATAAATTTTTAAAAAGCTAAAGTACGTATAAAAGAGCATAAAAACCACAGAATGAAACACTGAGATTTTGCGGTAGGGCAAAGAAAACCTCGATTATTGTTTTTGTTGTATGAGACGGCTATCAGGCCTCTTGTGAAAGTTAGTACCGTCAGGTCGACGACAGTGCGCTGTACGTAGAACTGAAGTTTTGGGGTGTATTATACGAGACAAAGGGTGTAAGAATACACCCCTTTTTTTTAAAGAGTGTACTCTACTACAAAAAAAAAATAATGCAAACGTCACTTTGTTTTTCTCACTTCGGGCGCCGTGAGAAATGTTCGTTTCCAACACAGAGAAGACTGCGTAGGTTTATGCTGTGGCTGTAAGAGGTTCTAAGTAGGCGATGGAGTTTGTTGGTAAAGCAAGAAAATAAAGTAACGGCAAAGAAAAACGCCCAAGCAGCGGAAAATAAGTTCACGTGCTTGTCTTTCACCTATATCAAAGATAAAGTCAAGGAGCACCCGCTAATCGTCTTAACAATCGACTTCCTTGCTAAGCGCCGTCACAAAATAGAAATCTGGTTGGGCATTAGTCATAAGTACACCGAGGGTTTGCGAAAAGACGCAAATATTACTCTTGCGCTTGGGCGCAAGGGAGCGGTTATGAAGTTCTCAGGGTACGGATATGAGAAAAAACGGCGTTCAAAGTCAAACGCATGCTGATCCTGCATTCTTAAAAAAAAAAAAAAAAAAATGTAGCTAGAGCGAAATATGTTGACAGAGTTGCTTTGCCAGGGGCTCGTTTTTGTTTAGGGAATGCTTTTCTAAAGTTTCTATTCGTAAACTTGTGAAAAAAAAGAAGGAACCTTTGGTTGTAGTTTTATAGCATCTGTAGTGATGCAACATTCACAAGTCCAAAAAAGATGTAACAGCTATCACACCTCCAGGCTATCTTAGAAAACTGTCAATTTATTATCCCTGCAAAAAAAAAAAGCAGAAACAGTTTATTAGAGTGCGGAATTCAGTTTATTTTGCCAGATCACTTTTTCCACACATGCGCATAAAAATAAAGTGTTTGTACTTTTCGGAGTTTAACATGCCCCACGGGTGAGTACCGGTAATTTAGCGAGTCACATTCCGAGTCCTATCCCTCATCAGGAATCACAAAAAGCGCGAAAGAATTTATGAACTGCGTAACAGCCTCCGCAAGGACTCGTTTCCTTCGTATGCATCGTTGAGCGCTCATCCGGGCTTTATTATAGCCGAAACAATGCCGCACGTTCATGGAACAGGTGCCATGATGAATAGGGCTTCCGTGAATAGGTTGCAGCCCAGAGCCGGACGTCTGCGTTAATTAGCGGGACCTGGGATCTGTCGCGTGTACCGTGAACCGTTCCGCCTGACGTGTACGGCTGTCACGAATGTCCTACATATTCGGGACAGTACTATGTGGCAGCGTGCTGTGGGCAGCGGTGCAAATCACGCAATGAAATCAACAGTGCGCTTGCGCGTTCTCAGTTCCGAACAAAGCTATTCACGCTCGCCTCCTCTATTTTTGTTTCACTTCCACTCCGGTAGCCTATTTAAGAGCTGATTTGACTGATGAAACAGGGTCTAAAATCGCAACGTCGTGGTGTTTGTCATGTTTCTGTACGTTCTCTAGATCCACTAAACTAAACCAATCATCTACAGAAAAGGCCCACGGTGGCTTCCGCTTTTGACTCGTAGGGTCCGCTCCGCCCGGGCTTAAGGCGAAGCAATATATAGAATAATCACAGCCCATGAACAACCTCGTCCACCTTTATGGAATGCTATTACACTAGGATGGGGCCGAGTTTGCAGTGGACCCCGACACCGAACGTCCCTCTACGCCTTGACTAGACACGATGACCAGCCGGAGGGTTACACAGCTCACGTGTCGAATTGGTGTCTGCATTTGATCTCACTGTGACGACATCAACAACCTATCACTCAGGCTTTGATTATTTCAAGTGTTTTTGGACTATAGCCCTGCGACCGTGACAAAAACCAACTGCGCGTTCGGCATTTCAAATTTTCTCAAGTCTTTTATGATACTGCGGCCAGCACTGCACTTCGTGGAACGAATTGTATGCCGCTTTGTGAAACATATTTGTGTGAGGGAGCAGTTTCTCACGTAATACTGGGTAATTGGGGCAAACCGCCAGAGTGTGCAAACTGCATCCGGATCAGAACCGTTGCCCAAGCTATTCGTGTGCGTGCCACAACGTGATATGCATCATGCCGGATGACACAGGGTGTGTGCAAAGCAAAGACGTGTCTCAAATACATCACAATACTGCGCTTTGTTTTGTTAAACGAACTACTCTGATACGAAATAGCACCGCGGTTTTGTTTTGCTTCTTTTTGTCGGGCATAAATGAACCGTTCTTGTAAACCAGACTTGCGCTTCTATGTTCAGGCTTTCGTTACATATATCAATACAAAATGTCTTCAAAGTAATTGAATTATATTTCTAAATATTCTTCCTTCTGACGATATGCAATGAAAGTAATTTAGTAGTGATCTAAATACTTTGTAAAGCAGGTATTTGGTAACAAGTACCTTGGATAATTTTGTCCTCTTTTCTGTCCAATACAGTCCTTGCTACGTTTGGAAGGTTTATAGAAAGAACAAGTTACAATACGTTTACGTTTTAGTCACGTAACCACGTTGGGCAAACGTAACGTATTGCAATTGAGGCTACAAAAACATAAACAAAGTGTGTAAGCGAGCTGGATCAATTCTGACATGGTAACCCAGGAGCGGGGAAAATCGGGTCGGACAACACGAAGCTTTCTGTTGCCTGTCCCGTTTTTTCCACGCTCCTGGGTTACCATGACAGAAACATCCACGTACGCATTAAAATCACAATATTAACATTTGATTGATATTCCCGCATATTTCCTCTAAATCGTGTACAGGCGAGCTGGTTCAATACTGACATGGTAAGTAACCCAGGAGCGGGTGAAAAATCGAGATGGACTACACAAAGCTTGTGTGTTCCGTCCCGTGTTTCTCCAGCTCCTGGATTACAAAAAAGAAACAATCATGTAAGCATTAAAATCGCAAAATTAGCATTCGATTCATATTTCTGCATATTTCCTGTCAACCGTTTTCGATTGAGCTTATTGAGCGATGCCAGGGCCATAGTGGCTATGCCAGAGCGCTCGAATCCGTAGCCAATGGCTACGGGCTGCCGGCAACTCTCAACGTGGACAAGGTGGAGGAGGCGACTGTTACCACAACAAAGCGCGTTCGATGGGAACGCACACAACGGGAAATGAAGGTCACTTCCTGTGGCACCAGTTTCAATGTAATACCAAGTGGAGAACGTTGGAATCAAAAGGCTTTTGTTCCCGAGGGGCAGAGACGAAACTTTCCTTGTCGGCGGCCTTGGCACCGACGCGGACGTGTGCAAAGGGACATATGCGACCACTCAGTCTCTACTTTCGCCGTAGTCGTGCCCTCAAGGGCAGTGGGCGGCGTGCCGACGTGAACGCTGCTTTCCTGGAGCTGCTACTTCACCGAATGAGCCGCAGTAGATCTCTGTCGGCTGGGGTACAAACCTGCCATTACGATTCTCATGAATTAGGAAACTGCGCGTCTTTCTTTCAGCATACGTAGGCGATACCGAAAGATAGGAGAAAAGAAAAGGGATAATGAGAAGTTCTGTAATATCCAGACACAATGAGGTTTGGTTTATATTGACTTCGTGGCCCACTTCGT